GAAACAAGAATGTCAACAGTCACGATTAAAGTCACCATTTCGCAAGTTCTTTGATCGATACCTTGTCAGCAAGTACAATTTTTTATTATCGAGTCAAATGCTGAGTGACGTTTTTCATACTAATTGTTAGTCCATTATTTACACACTGAATTCTCGACGGATTTTATTTTGTTACATTTCCCGTTCACGACAAGGAGCATACGGCTGGCGTGAAGGGTAGGAAGGGATGCTTACTCCTCCATTGCACCTGATTCCACCTTTGATGTTTTGGAGGTCCGTACTTGCTCTGCTCCAATTTTGTATTGTTTAATGGATTTTGAGCTTGAATATTGCACGCTAACTAAACTCCATATATTTTACTTCCAAAAAAAAAAAAAAAAAAAAAATCAGAATTAAATTTTTTTTATTGAGACAACCCCGAATAGCTATGAAGTAATATATATTAATTAAACACTTCTGCTACAAAAGCTTTCATAAAGGAAATACCATATTAAGCGTACTTATACTCATTCAGTATTAAAAATACACCTTCAGATATCCCTTGATTTGGTCAAAAGGCACTTGAAACATAAATTCATGATATGACCATTTCACGTATCAAGGAAGTTTAATCATAATTAGATTTAATAAAGGATATACGTACAAACACAACAGTTCAACATACATATAGAGTAGTGTCTCCATCCCAGTTCTCCCTCTACTTCAGACGAGAAGATCCTCCGGTAGGTTTGGTACTTCATCTGTTTCCTGTTATATCCAAAAAAGCTGCAGTCTTTTTGACACATCGCAGAGCATTAACACAAAGAGTGAGCTCTGAATTCTCCTAATACTTCATTGTTTGACTTCTTATTATCAAATTCCAGTTTTACGCCAAAACTCCAGGAAAAATCAGTACGCGTAGTAAGAGACTCGGTAAAAAAGTCAACAATTAAGAAGATAACTAAAATAACTAAAAAAATGTTCATTTTTTGAAGTGTATTTTAGAATAACTCCTCTCCTCTGAGAAGAAAATGCAAAATGATCTTTCAATTGAAAATATTTTATCAATATTACACTGGCTCAGATATTGAATATTGATTAAATACTTATAAAATAGTTTCAAGAATAAAAACTGTCAAAAAGCCGAACATATTAAAATGTTTTATTGAATATTTGTATTAATCATCACAAAAATATGAAAATAATTGTTTGTTCCAATGCTTGGTAAAGTAAAGTAAAGTATCAAAACATATAAATTCTCACTGTATTAATTGCTTCAGTCTTTAAGTCGACTATAAGATATCTGGTTTTATTTCCCCCTGTTGAATAGATAAGAAAAGGCAAGCTTAATATTTGTATTATTTCAATATTCTTTGAAGCCGGATTACTGCATGTGTGGTTCTTCCTTATTTCATGGTTATTAGTCATAATTCCAATTAACATTTTATGCAATATATGAAAAATAACACGCATAGATTACATAATTAAGGAATTGTTGAAATCAAAATATTGCCGAATTAATTTACTTTCCTAGTATTAGTTTTATAAAATAGATATATTACTAATTATACATCCAAGGTTTATTCCTTTACTTCATGGATATCACTCATTGGGTTTTTTTTCATATTCCTCTGCAATGACCTGACAATGGGTTTTGCGATAGTTAATATTATTATCCTTCAGAATTATACAGTCAATCTGATTGGTTTAGAGCAGGTCACGTGCAGGGAGACAACTCGTGATGTCTCCCTCACGCGCAGGGTGACAACTGTTATCTCCCTTCAGATGACAATGAAATTTATAGCGTAAGCGATCATGCAGGGTTACAACTATGTTGTCGCCCTTTGAATAAAACTATAGTGGTTTAAGCGAGATAACTCCTATTTATAAGTACAATGGCTAAATATTCGGGATCGGTAAACAATAAATTCTAAAGATGACGTCAAAGCTGTCTGTTGACATATTTTAAAAGTATGGAATCGGAGCTGAGTAGAAGCAAATAAGAGGTTTGATTACTATTTTCTACTCTATCTAATTGATAATTGTATATTCTTCAGGATAATAAAACTATTATGGACTGTTTAGAAGGGAGACATCACCAATTATCAGGTCTGAGTAGGGTTGTCACCCTCGGGCGCAAGCACCCTCGGGTGACAACCCTACTCAGACCTGATAATTGGTGATGTCTCCCTTCTAAACAGTCCATAATTGTATAATGTAAACAGTGTGGATTCATAAATTAATACAAAAATTGATAGTGACGTATTCATTGTGTGATAAAAGGAATCTCCACTAATTTGCGCTTAGATTTGATTTTTATCTAATTCGTTGATTGGAGTTCGCGATAAAACACATCACAACTCGTTGAATTACAATCAAATTCAACAACAGATCATGGGAAATCCTAAATATGAAAAAAAAAACTTGGTATCTGCATGTCTAGTGTAGAATATACAGTTTTTAGAATATATGTTGTTGAACATTCCATTCTAAAAATCGCTAAAAAATTTAAAAAGGCATGTTTACGAATTATATAAAGGAAGTAAATGGACCATGTGAAGCAATTTCTTATGATCTTATGACGAATAATTTATATTACCAGTTTACAAGCATTATGGGCATTTTATCGCCCTTTCTGAAATTTACACGCTGTAGTAAACCGCTACTATTGAAATTTTCATTTTATCTACTTTTTTTCGAGAAAGGTTTTTTTCCGTCATTGGCATGTCATAGTTATTTTTCTCTCCATTTCAAAACACGTTTAATTGTGAAAATATGATGATTGCAAAATCAATATCACACACTAAAATGTGTTTTGAAACTCTTCCCCTGTGATTTAATGTAAAAAGGCGGCATGAATTATACAGATTTTCCAATCCTTATTTTACTTTTTCAATCCATCTTTGCCTTTCTTTGATGACTGCTTTCAGACTTCATCATTGTTTTATGGATTGCCCGTAGTTACATGTAATGTTTACAAAGTATGTAGAAATAAAGAAATAAAATTTTGGAAGAATTTATTAGACATAACATTTTAAAAATATTAATAAAACATATATAAAAATTCTGTAAGTATACATATGTACATGTGGCATTAAGTCTAGTTAATAGAGCTTAACTGAGCAGGCAATTTTTTCATCACATTTATGTTCAGTAAATTATATGTAAAGACTGCGCCGAACTTAATATGTCCAAGACATTAGTCTTACTGTACAGTCTATAATTTATTCTTTAAATTTTTTCATTACCGAAAAGCACTTTCTGAAAAATGTCGGTAATGAAAACTTTAAAATGTCGAAATGAAAGTTAAAAATGTCGGAAATAAAAAAAAATTGAATTTAAAAAAAAATCCGGAAATGAAATGCAGCCTTAAACATTGAATGTAAATCACACAATTTGAAGCAATCGTGTTTCATAGATGTCAGTGATTTAAAACAATGACAGATGTTATATCGACTCAAATTTAAATATCAGACACAGTTATAATTCAATTTAACTAATAGGAATGTGGGGGTATTTAAGTTCAAAATCGGTGAAATTTTTTATTTGAACGTAAATATTAAATCTCATGTAAATCTACGCTTTATCGTATTTTTTTTTAGCTCAGATTCGCTATATTTAGCTTTAAATATTCAAATAAAGACTATATATGATAATTATAATGTCACGGTTTTAAAGTGAACTCATGAATATTTTGATCCTGAGCATTATTTATCAATTTAAAAAATTCAGATCTATTGATATGTAAAGCTAACACATAACCATTAGGTTCACCGACCATTCAATGACAGCGCCATCTCGCAAACTGAATTTGGTGTTATCGTTTTCTCTATCATGTGCAATATCAAAAGAAGCTTTATTTTTTTTTATCATTTATGGTTTGAAATTTTGATTTATATATCTGTAATAATGCAAAAACATTTTGTTTGAATTGACATGTAAACTAAAAAAAATGAGACGGAAAAGAGCTGAAACAAAGATATAAGTAATGATTGATTTGAGACAATGAATTAATTGTAATTAAAAGCAAACATGATGTTGATATGGCCATTAAGTGACAATAACATTAATGCGTAGACTAAATGGTATTTCGTTTTTTTAATTTGATGAACTTGAATTCACTTGCAATCTTAGTTTTTACGGTTAGAATGAAAGAATGAAAGTCCTTTGTCTGTGCAGTAGACCCTTTTTAAGGATCCGGTATTGTTCGTGCAGTTTTTACTGTTGAATTTTTCCGGCTTCTAAATTCTTACAAGCTGTCTACATTCAATATATCTCTATTTTTTGTGCAGGTACATTTAGCAATTAGGTTGAATTCTCCTACATTCTTTTTGTGTAGTGAAACGTTTTTGTTTAAAAGTAACTGGAGAAAATTTTGAAAATCTAAGGCAATGGTTTGAAATAAAACCTGCAACTTACCAATGTCCAAAGAGTAGGAAATAGAAAATATGGGAGCTAAGTACTAAAGTTAAATGTTTCATTATTTTTTTATGTCTATGTACACTAAACTATATTATTTTTTGAAAACAGTTTCATCAAATGACTATGTTGCATAGACACCTGCCGAGTACATGTAGATAGCGCATGAAAAACTAGTACTCTAATATTCCCAAAAATGTATTATTTTTTCGTCAATCACATCGTAATTTGTAGTTTTTTGAGGAAGAATTAAACATAAACAACACTTTAAAAAAATATTTTTGCAAAGAAATTGGAGGGGATGGAGATTTTAGTGGTAATACATATGCTATACACATGCGTGTGTCTGTGGTATTGTTAAATACTACAGTACAATTGTTGATTGCCACCGACTATCAAAATGTGAGGGAAGAGCTTGCAAATTAATTTAATATCTATTGTAGTGTTAAAACATGTCACTGCTAGATGTCTTCCCTGTATTTCAACATCCTTGAAATAATAACAAAAACAAAAATAATTGGTACAAGGCTTGGGATTAGTTATGCCCAATTAATAAATTTAGAAACAAAGTCTAGGAAGGAATACCTTATTTATTACAAAGAGAACACTGATAAATAATTGACAAATTATTCTTGCAGTAGTGAAGAATTAATGCAATTACTGTTACACAATATTTTCTACACTTACTTATAAGGCCAACAATTTTTGTTGAAGAAAATTTAAATTATCTTATCGTCTGTGGCTGAGAAAAGACTGTTTCTTAGTTTTAAGGTAAGAATATCATATGTGTTAGCACCTAGAATCAGAATGAAATCTTAATGTAAGTATAAAGTGAAAATTCTGTTCTCTTCAGGATCTTATACCTCAAGATTTTGATACCGTCTTGCATAACCCGTTTCATGCCAGTACTGAGAAGTTTAAACCTGTGTGGAAATAACAGAAAAAAGAAATATATCAAACGTTTATGCATTATATACAAGTATTTACTATTGTTTTACTAATAGCATGACATTTTGCATGATGGGGGCGTACTTAATATTCTGTGCTGATTATAATATTACTCATCGACTGGATGTTCGAATTTTTTCATCAATAATACTTTGAATATGAAACACAGAACCCTGCAATACCACTGACAATACTGACCAATCATATCTGAAGAACCTTCACTAGTACAGCGCCACGAACTCTTTAAGCTCACATGGTTTTTCTCACAAATTAAGGTAACATTTTTATAATAGAAATTTACATTATCTGATGTCTTAAAGGGGAATTTATCAATTAATGGTACGATGTTACTACTATACGATTCTACTTGTACCATAGGGTTTTTAAAGATTGTATAAAAAGAGCTTTCTTTGATATCAATTACATTGTAATATTGTGTACCGAGACTAAAAAATGTTTAAAAAAGTAACTGTTTACATTTTTTTAGTTTTATTTCACTTACTAAAACCTAATTCACACATATGAGCAGAGAATTTTTAAAAAATACTTAACATTAAGAAGAAAAAAAGGTGAACTACATGTACTTGTATATTATAACAATGTAACGTTAATTTGTGTGAAAAAAAAAGTTCATGGAGCTGTATACAAAAAAGCAATACTTACACGTGGACATACAATGCAATTTTTACTTTTTATAAAATGCTTATAACGATAGTTATGTAGCACAATAGCAGCAACATAGCATCACCACTCACTACTCTTCTGTTCTTTAAATCTGTGTTCTTGCTGACTAACAATTCCATTCTGGTAAACAATTATTTAATATGACTGACCAGTATTATCAAAGTACTATTCTATTCTGAGTTTCATATGCAAATAAGTATTGATTTTTATATGTAAATAAAACATCCAATCGATAAATAATGAAATAATCAACATACAAAAGTGTAAATATACCTTTTTAAGCAAACTGTCAAGTTGATAGTGAAAAGTTAATATATCAGAACACAGGAAAACTGCACAAAGAAAAATTAGCAGATGATTGCACCATTCATAAATTATGATTTAACACCAGTCGTGCAATTTAAGAGATTGTTATATAGAATTTTCTTAAATTTTTTTTAATAAAAGATTTAAATATTTCCCTCGAAGGGAAAGTATGACTCTTAAATTGGACTTCTCCTTCTGATAGAAAACTTCAAAAGACAGGTGTTTGCATATGAAATTACTATTTGTTTAAAGGGTATTTAAAGTATTATTGCGGGTATTAAAAAGGGAAAAATAGAAGGATAAATACCTTGCGGGATTAGGTGGGCTTTGCCTATGTTTAAGCATTATGTATCGTGAAACATCAGGCATACTTCTAAGGATTGTCATATTATGAAACATAAGCCTGTTAAAACAAGTAGAAAACTACATTTACCTTCTATGATGAAATTTTAAACTATAAGCAATCAGAGAGTTATTGTTAAAGATTGTACATGTAACTTGTAATATATTTTTGATATGTACGGTTTGATTAAATAGAAGTGTATGCCAGAAAAAAAATCTAATATTTTTGACCTGCATTCTAAAAATCATGTAATATGTATTAATTGATTTAAGAGAAGAAGAAGGATATGGAAATAACGAACAGTATTCAATCTCAACGTCCATTAAACAATATACAAAATAAGAGCAGAGCAAACACGGACCTCCGAAACATCAGAGGTGGGATCAGGTGCCATGGAGGAGTGAGCATCCCCTGCCGACCGGTCACACCCGCCGTGTGCTCGTTGTCATAATCAGGAAATAACGGAAAAAATCCGTCGTCAATTCAGTGTATAAATAATGGACTAACAATTGGTATGAAAAACGTCAGTCAGCATTTCATTCAATGATAAATTGTATTTGCTGACAAGGTCATTGTATCGACCATAGAATTTACGAAATGATGACTTTAAACGAGACTGTTGATATTCTTGTTTCATCAACTTGCTTGTCAATAATTTACCTCGTTTAAGAAATTGTTCATACGTAGAGCATGCTCTTGCGTATCGAATCAACTGAGATATATATACTCCGTATGCAGGTGATGAAGGTATATTGCTGCATAAGTAAGGGAAGTTGACGATAGAAAAGTTAAAGTCATCACGTTTATCATATAGCTTGGTTGTTAGATTACCATTAGCGTCTTTTTCAAGTAAAATATCCAAGTATGAAGCAGAAGTGTCGGACTCTGTGGTATCTTTTATCTCAAGCTCACCAGGATATATCGTGTCGACGTAGGAATGGAAATTATCATTATTAATTGACAATACGTCGTCGATATATCTAAATGTCGAGTTGAAGGCCACAGCAAGTGTTTTCTTCTTTTCACGCATAAGATTTTGCATAAATTCTGCTTCATATGAATATAAAAATAAGTCTGCTAATAACGGAGCGCAATTTGTACCCATGGGAATTCCAATAGATTGTTGGAATACCTGGTCTCCAAAAACCACATAGATATTGTCAATCAGAAACTCAAGCATCTTCTTGATGTCAACTTCAGAGTACTTATGTGTGCAATCAGAATCTGTTTTAACAAAATAATTTTTCAAATGACCAATGACGAGGTAAGTAAATTTACGAGTTCCATTTTTGTTGAAGAAGCAGCTTTCAATGATATCAAAAAGCCTGGATTTTAATTTGTCGTGGGGAATTGTTGTGTATAAAGTTGAAAAGTCGTAAGTTTTTAAGCTGTTGATTTTTGTAAAGTTTTGTGATTTCAAATTGTCCAAAAGTTCTTTAGAATTTTTAAGTATCCACATCTGATTTACACCACTTCTTGAATATATAGTTGTACAGTACTCTTGAAGTTTTTCTTTCACTACTGTCAATATTTTAGTGAGAAGTAACGAAAGAGGCTTGGTTGAACATTTACTGGAACCTGCAATGTATCTTTGTTTGTAAGGATTCTTATGAAGTTTCGGAATCCAATATATATAAGGTAGTTCAAATTCATTTTGGCTCTGTGGAATATTAAAAGTATTCAAAACTGACAGGTGATTTTGAAGAATTTCTTCCTTAGAAAGAGAAGTATGAGTATAAGTAGGATTACCACTTATAGAATTAAATCCAAGTTCTTCTAGAATGCAATTTATATAATGAGCCTTACAAACGAAGACAATGTTGTTACCTGCTTTGTCGGCAGGAACCAGTACGTACTGATCGTGTAATCTATCTAATTCTTTTTTCACTTCTGGTTTATTGAACACAGAAGGATAGATGGTTTTCATTTTGCCCCTCAATCTTTTAATACGTGACTTTAACATGGATCTGATACATTTAATCCATTCTGACAAGGTGTCAATGTCTTCTTTTTCATATCTGGCCCATCGTCTGGCGTAATTTTCAACAGAATCAATAATATTTATGAAATTCCGACGCCAGTTGAAGGATCGGGGTTCCCTATATTTAGGACCTTTTAAAATAAGTGATCTAAGGTCCTCATTACGAACTATTTTTACGTCACCTGTAATAACGTGTCCAGCAGGACTATAGTTAAAAAAGACATTTTTATGAATGATTCACTGAAAATATTGTGAATACACTTAATTAAAAGCATTCTACCGAAAGATATATATTGTAGAGAAAAAAAGTATTTTTTCAAAAAAAAAAAAATATCTAGGAAGTTTCAATTATATTTCAAAAATTTTATTTATTTTCAATCTAAAGTTGTACATGATTACACGACAAATGATTAAATTAGTATTAGATGTATCAATATTAACCTATTATACAAATCGTCGTTCTCTGCTCCCCAGCCGCTAAACTTGTTTGAGAATCCATTGACAAATAAAATTTGGTCTTTTGTCATGGCTGAAACCCCACCAAAAATGTAAGGTATGGCAATCTGATAGAAAAGAAGTTAATGATTTTATTGTCATGGAATGATTTTGTATGAATATCTTAAATACAATAATCAAAAAAATATACATCTAAATATATTAAAATTCAAGCGCGTGATGCAAAGTCTACATGAATATAAATGACTCATTTATAATTCTTACTTGTAGTTGAATTTGTCCTCAGCTACAGACATATGTCGCGGCAATTCAGAACATCGATAAAGGTTGTGATCATTTTCTGGGAGGAGATCGACGTCGTGTAAAAGGTAACAGTCAAAGTCCTCCTCCTTGCTGGCCTCCAGGAACCCAACATTTAGAAGAACACCTCTGTTAAACATAATTTTTTTATCCTGGGGAAATATATTTATGATTTTAATATACATTGCAAAATAAACATAACATGACATTAAATTTGCACTTTTATAATATATAAGAAAATCCGTAAATCATCTTATCTTACCAATTCAGTGTATAAATAATGGAATAACTATTAGTATGAAGCATTTGACTCATTGATAAATTGTATTTGCTGACAAGGTAATTGTTTCGACCAAAATCAAATGCCACTTGAGAATGAGATTATTATGCATTTTTCTTCAGATCTGAATTTGTTTTGCATCAAAAATATGCTTTTT